GTCTGTCCTGTTTCTCTGACTGTGACTGTGATGTGCTCTCTTCATCCTCTGACATGGGAGTTGGCTCGGAGCTCGTCTGCCTGGCTGTGTGTTTCCTGGACGGGGCCGCCTTGTACAGCTGCTTTTTGTATCTCTGCATGTCTGCTGTCTCCATGAACCCCAGTTGGCCTTGGCAGATGGCCGCTCACACTGAGCCTGGTTCTGCTGGAGGTTTTTTTCTGTTAAAAGGGAGTTTTTCCTCTCCACTGTTGCTACAAGCATGCTTATTGTGATGGATTGCATTGGAGCTAATGAGTTGAGACAATCAACTGGTTTTCCTTATATAGAAAACTGTGAATCAATTTGACTGCATGATCTGGTAAACTGTAAAGTGCCTTGAGATTACGTGTTGTGAATTGGTGCTATAGAAATAAACTGAACTGAATTAAATTGAAGAACAACATTTTTGAAATAGTTAAGTATTCAAAAGTACATGCATTTAAAAGTAGGCCTATATAAATATTCAAAAATACAAATACAATTTTCTAATATCAGTTATTTTCTGTATAATTTTCAGGATAATTTTAAAGAACCTTGTAACTTTCAGAAACCACCTGATGTATTGATGCATAGAACCACCTGAAATAGATTCTACACCACCTTGAAAGAACTTCAGCAGAGAAGTGCCACAAAAATGACAACTATTTTGATTATTGTTTCTTATTTAAAAACAAAAAGAAAATGGGAATGTCTTGATTCTCCTCACACTTTCACTATGGAATAGAGGTTTAAGGCTGAATCTATTACCACAAAGAAACTAAAACGTTCAGAACTAATCTTACTACACAACTCGGCCATATGGCAACAGCCAACGCCTTGATAAACTGTATAAACTACAAATAATATCAGCCCTAAAATTCTCACATTTGCGGAACTTCACACAAATCTGTAGAACAGTGGTGTCCATATTCAGTTCTAAAGGCTGCTATCTGACATGTTGAAATTACTTTTTAAGAAAGAAAAACAGCAACAGAGGATTAAAAAGCTAAGCTGAGCCAAAAGGAACAAGGAACTATAGCAGCTTCCTAGAAATGAAGTGGAGTAGAAAGTTATTAAGTTATAAGTTATAAAAAAAAAAAAACTGCCTAATGTGCAAGCCACTTTATTTAATAAGAAACACCAGCTATTCTGGATTGAACTAGTCCAAAATCCCTGTTTTAAAAAAATCACTATGAGTATGGACTGAAGTTATGACATAGTCACAGAAATAGGAGTGCACTAAAACAGGCCAAGCTCCAACATCT